GAATCACTTATCGAAATTCATTTGAACTATGTCTAATGAAACAGTCAATGAATAACAAAATCAATCATTTTCCTCGGAGAGATCTTCCGTAACTGGATTTTCTTCAACAAATTTTCGAAAACCAACAATTGCATACACAGGACCGATATAGAAATCAGACTTTGTTTCAATCTGATAGTCAACTCCAGTCAATGATGATTCATCAAGTAAACGTAACGTACTCAGCGGAATGTCTGGGAATGTATTACTGCAAACAAAAAATGATATTAATTGCAAATTATCGAAAACTAAATAAACGTATTCAAATACAGAAATCCAATTATGACAATTCAATTGTGGAAATCCAACAGTTACAATTTCTTGATACCTTACCTGAATATTTCTTCGCTATCCTCCGGTTCAGTGCTATTGACCACAGTAAAATGAAAGGCTATTACTTGATGACTGTTAAGAAAGAGCAATTCCTTCTGCAGAAAAAGGATAATTTTACACATTTAGTAAAGTTATAGCGAGCATATTTCTGATAAATATTAAGAACACGTGAAGTTACGTAAAAAAGCAATCAAACCTCAAAAGTTTGAAGAATTAACAAGCTTTTAACGAGAAAATGACTCCACAACATTAACAATTACGAATAAACTGAAGTAAATTAAAAAACAATTAAAGCGAATGAACAGGTCAAACCTTCCAGTCCTCAAACTTTGTTTTCAAAATATCGCTGGTATCATTTTTTTCTACTAAAAAAGTCGATGCTTTTACGTCAGGTCCGTAAAACATTAACACTTTGACCATCCCTATCGCATCGATGTATGGACTGAAACTGAGATATTTGTTACGGCAATATTAAAATATTGATCGTTTGTCCATAATTATTATACCATTCGTCCTATTCGTAAAGCATCAAGAAGGACATTTTTGTTCGACACCGAAATTAATGTTCATCCTATCAAACACATTCTGTGGATGAACATTGTCGTAATCAGCTCTTCTCGGTGTTACTCCATTCTAGATTGATCTGTTAGCCAAGAAAAAATCAAGTCTGACTTACTTTTGATTATCCGGCTGATCAACAATACAAATTGGCGCGCTACCAGCTTTTTCTCGAATTTTTTTGGCTGCATCCAGTGCTTCACTTTTATCGTCTTCATCAGTATTTTTCAGATTGTTACCAATCATAATAATCAACTTTGCTCGATTCTGGGATTTACGATTATCTCATTAGGTTGTGAAGATCGAACTTCTAATAAGCTCTAGTAATGAAATTATATGCAAAATTCACTCCATTATAAACATAATACTTTGGGGTGTCACATACTGTGTATTGAGCCATGTGACATTAGATGTATTAAGCTTTAATTAACTCACTTCATTGGATTTCGGGTCATATAACAGATTTTTTTCTAACCATTCACTGAAAAAACTGTTGCAGTTAAAGACAAGCATGACAGAGATCAACATACACATTAAATATTGAATATTCGATGGAGTTTTGCATTGATCTTTTGAGGCAGAATGAATTACATTCGAATTACATTCTAATTCTAATTACATCCCTAATTAAACTGTTTGTGGTATTATGCTTTCTGTTTACAATCCTTAGTATATTTAAGTAAAGATTTCATTATCACTCAAGTACCACTTCATTATCATTATCACTTAAATATTACGACCATTCGACTGTCACATTCAATTATTGATGCAATGTTTGGAATAGAAATCCTTGAAGTATTTGCACCAAAAACGATTAAATCTCAACATTGGATGATTTTGGCACAATTTGATAATGATTAAAGTTTGCTTCTGTTAATATAAAAGATGACTAACAAATCGTCGTTTTGCCGGGAAGAAAAGCTCATGTACGAGGATACATATAAATCGTATGGGATAATCACTCCGTTCATTGGACTTCCTTCTATTTCATTGGGGAGGAATGGCATGTCTGCTGAAATCATATAATTAGAACTATTTGTTTGTTTAATAGTGGTTTAATCCCATATGATGCAAAAATCCATTACAATTTCCTAACCATTTACGAGTTCCTCGCGCATTTCTAGATGATGTTCCTGAGACATGAATGTCTGTACTCCATAATAATAGTTCGCCGGGCCTGTCATATTGATCGGTTTTTCACTTCCAAACAAAATAGCTTCATATGGTTTCCAAAAAGGCACTGCGAAGGGATCTTTGTGCTAAAGTTCGAATTTGCATCATTATGTCGTCAAATCATCGTCTGTTACAAGTTCTTTCTAATTTTTAGTAAATTATTGTTCTTGACAGGAACAAAGGATGGAACATGCCTGAAAATCGGTGAAAAAACCGGTGAAATTCGTCTCATCTATGACTTTCAAAGCATTCTTTAAATATGGGGGATTTATTTGACCATCTCGATAATGCAGTATTCTACGTCGACGGTTTAACTCGTGGTTTATATGTT